TCTGCCTCCAGCCACGGAGCGCTCTGCCTCCAGCCAGGGAGCGCTCTGCCTCCAGTCAGGGAGCATAGGCCTTGAAGGCTGACCTCCACCCAATGGTCCGGGAGCCTGGCGTGGACTGTTCTCATTGAAGGGCACTCTTCACTTTTTATGGTGTGCTTGGTCCTCCGTCTAGATTACTGTGCTGTGCTCCAGCAGAAGGTGGGCCAAAAGAAGTGAAAGTTCTTTGGCAACAGCACTTGCTCGGGGAAGTCGTGCTCAATCCCAAGACTGTAAGAGTGGAAGTTACCTCTGTATTAAATGTTGGTGGGCTCTTTGTTTGCCACACAGTAGTCACTTACCTCTCCGCGATCATCGCCGGCTGTGCCTCTGTTCTCCCCCTGGCCATGTGCTGTGTGTTCCCTTGGTTCTCTCCTGTAGACAGTATGTCAGTCTCTTTATTGGGGATCTGTGCACACTATTTTTTAGTGGCAAATTCTGAGGTCTGGGAGTCCGAAGACTGTTTATTCTCGGTGCAGTTTCTGCTGCTTCCTCGCCCTGTGACTGTACACGCAGCATTTAACTGCTTTGAACTTCAATTTCCTGGTTTGTAAAATGAGGGAGGGAGTTGGATGAATGAATCCCCGTGGTCTCTTGAACTCTGTGTGCTTGGAGGTGATGTTAGCCAGTGGTTTGTGTCACAAACATGAACCAGTGACAGAACTTCTCCAACCTCGGCAGCCTTTGGACTCCGCACATGGCCAGTCTTCCTGGGGAACCTTTCATTTAACTCAAAACAGCACCCCCTGCTCACCACTGAGGTGCTCTCGCGTTTCTCTTACTGGAGCTCCAGATGATTGGACCTCGTAATAGTGATCATCTGAGAGGACGCTTGTTTTAGAGTCTCTGGGATACAGAGAGTTAAAGAGCATGAAAGGCTTTGTAAAGGGGCCCTACTCAAAGGCCGTTCCATTTCCTGATGCTTGAGATGATCCTAACAAAGACCTGCATTTTATGAGCGCGGGATGCCTTTAGCTCAAGACTCCTTGTCTCATTCTGTTCCGGAACCTGCCAAGCGCTGCTGAGGCCGAACCATTCCGCACACCGTAAGCCCGCGGGGACAGGTTCTCAGGTTCCACAGGAGAGTGTCCTTTCCCTTGTCCCTCTGGGCTGTAGTTTGGGCGTCCACGTTTGGGAAGGGGAGAACTCTGAGTCCCCTCTGCCGGGGAGGCGTGCCCACATGGCCACGGTTGTTTGGGCGTAGGGTGGACGTGAGGGTCAGCCAGAGCTTAGTCAGCCATCTCTGGCCACCAAGAGAAGGGGGAAACTTTCTGTACTCCCTTCAGCTTTTGATAGCTGTGAAATTCAGGTAATTTTCATACTCTAGTCAAGGTTTGGTTCAGTTGATTTCTGGAATTCCTCTTTATTTTCACGGGTGTTTATCTGGAACATTTCTGAGGACCCCATGAAAGGGGGGAGAACAGAGATACCCACATACAGGGAACTTAGCCATCAGGCACAACGGAATCTGGCCTTTTTTGACCCTGGGCCAGGGTCCTAACCCCTCGGATCTAGCGGCCCCCAAAATATACCCACAGGCTGGTTGAATCTACCTGCGAGCAACACTGGACCTTCCCAATGGCCTGTGCTGAAACAGGACCTGGGGAAGCTCTGCCTCCCTTCTCCAAGCTCTGCAGTGCTCTGAAATTAAGGACATCTTGGGGTGGGGTCACTTGATGAAAGCACTATTTAATGCGTAAAAAACCCTTCGTGGAAAATGCCTAAATCGATTTGGTTTCAAAGTGTCCTCATGTTGGTCTTACTCTTTGGTTGGGCTTTGACATGTGTAGCCCGGTCCAGGGTGGAAGAGGATGGAGAAGGGGTTATTACCTGGGTCAGCGTAACGGTGATGGGTAGGGAGAGGGGTTTCAGCTGTAATATGGGGACACCAGGCAAGTGGCTGGTCTCTCTGTGCCCCACGCAGCTCAGATGCTCTGTGACTATCCACCTTCCAGGCCGGGTTCCTGCAAGAATGAGAGGGGAGATAATCCTGTCTTGAAATGTTAAAATTGGGGTGATTACTTAAAGCTGTTCATAATATTTGATAGGAATGGGATTCCCTTCTTCACCACAGGCAGCATTAAATGTGAAAGTTGGGCTTTATCTCTCCAATTAAAAAAATGTTGTGAGTAGGAGCTCTGGCGTTGTTACCAGACTAGCTGGGGTCACAGTGAGTGCGCTGGAAAGCCAGTCCGTGTCAGCTCCTTGGTTTCCAAGGAGCATCATGCCACACTTAATGGTTGTCCCTCCTCGGTTGCCAGGGTACCCAGTCATGGGTCTGTTCTAGAAGCTGTGTTCTTCTAGAGAGAAAGAAAGGATGACCCCTGGTGAGGCTGACGCCAAGGGCCGAGATACTGCGTCTCTCCGCAGGGGCCCCCCGGGACCTGGGGGCAGGACGAGGGGAGGCCAGCTGGGTTCCTGGGGCTGGAGACAGGAGCTGTTGCTCCACTGCTTTTCCCACTCATTGTGCAGCCTGGGCCCTATCACTTGAGAGACCTGGCAAGGAAGTGAGGAGGAAGTGAGTGCCACTGCTGGTTCAGAATGTTCCAGTGTGGTTGGAAAGTTTGAGAAGTGGCCTGGGTGAGAAGAACAAGACCTTATTGACAGGGTTCAGTCCTGTTCAGGTCTGTTTCACATCAGCTTTCTCCATAATCACCACTCTCCCTGCCCCCAAGGATCTCCAGCATTTTCTCTGCCTACTCCCCCACTTTTTTTTTTTTAAGCATTCTGTGGTGCTATGGTAGAACACAAAGCATTTTAACTTTTAACCTCAAGGCAGATTCTCAAATGTGAACAGTGTTGTCTGTTTCAAGATGATACCGCGGCTACCAAAACCAAGACATAGCTCCATGTTTACACGGTTTTCCAACTGTAAACGTGCATACTAGTTGTCAATGCTTTTTCTACAAAGTCATTTCCTCATTGACTGATTTTTGAAGATTCTCATTCACCTGATGGTTGCTGCAGGCTGTATCGGCCTGGTCTGGATCGTCCAGCCCTTTTTTCTGACTTAAGTTTGCGTAGTGTATATATAAAAAATAATAACAATGAACAACTATATACCAGAGACATTTTTACAGGGGCAGAGTGGGGAGTGGGATCAAAAGTGGGGGAGGGGGATAGTACACTGGGCTATGGTGATGGCACACGGGTGGTTTGGTGACGGGACGACCACGGGGATGGCAACTGAGATGGAAAAAGGCACAACAGGATGTAAAAATAAACTGTTATTAAAAAAAATACTTAGAAGAGAAGCGCATCCTAAAAATGAAGCACACACACACACCCGTGCGTCTGTCATAAGATGGGAAGAAAAGGACGACGCCAGGCTGTTGCTCTTCTCCCGTGAGCCAGATTGTTGGTGTCAGAAAGCCGGGAGGAGGTGGCTGGAGCCCTCTGGGGCTGCAGACTGGTCCCAGGCATGTTCGCTGCATCGTCCTGAAGCCCACGCACTGCGGCGTCAGCGAGGGGAGCCCGCAGCCCCGCCTCTCAGGCCCTGCGGGACCTGCTCCCGGTCAGGTCGTGCTGACCAGGCTGCCTTCACTTTCCTTTCTTGTCTACTTTTTTTAAAGATTTATTAATTTATGCATACAGAACTGGGGTACAGGCCAGAGGCTCAGGGGCGGCGAGTGGAGTCACAGAGGGGGGAGCAGAACAGGCAGATTGACGGAGTGCACCGCTGAGGGAACAGCCGGGAGACAGGAGGGGTCAGCCGTGCCCTGTGGGTCCCTCCCTGGCCGGAGATGGAACTCGTGCCGCAGTGGCTGCGGACGGCTTCCCAGTGCTGCGCTTTAGCCCGTTGTACCACCAGGGAGGGTCGACTTCTCTTTTACCTGATAGGTAAAAGGCTTTTGGAGCTCAAAGGGTCTTCGTAGCTTTTTCAAACTGAGAAACCCTCTAAGACTGTTATGCTTTGCGACGTGGATTTTGCAGGATTCACGTAGCTTGCAAGTGGCCAAACAACCCCAAGCCTTGCGATTCCAAAGGAGCGTGTTTGACCTGCTGCCCCTTCTCACCACCTGGGTCCAGGCTCTGTCCCTGTGCCCGTGACGCTGTCACACTGACAGGAGATGTGGAAATGTGGGGCGAGCCATCGCCACACTGTGACCCCACCCCCGCGTTCTGGTTATTTCGCTTGTCATGGCCTTTCGTGGAAGCGCCTAGAGCCTCGCAAAGCTCTCCCCAGCCCCCAGCCTTGGCTGCCTTCCCTGCTGGTCGTGATGGGTCTGACATGTGTCCCTTTTCCTTCTCTTCTCAGGATGGCTCGTACTTGGCCGAGTTCCTGCTGGAGAAAGGCTACGAGGTGAGTGACTCAGTGAGGGAGCACAGCCCGCGGAATCGCTGGGACACAGAGGCCTGCTGCTTCCTCTGCGGCCGTCCCCTGTGCGTGTTTTCCACGGAAACCCTGATAACAAACCGAAATCAGGGGAGGAATGTGCTGCGCGGCTTGTCAGCCTGCCAGTCATTGTGCTATTTATCTGCTGGGGAGCATTGGTGGCTTCCCCCGTTCCCCAGTGCTGAGCGGCCCTGCACGCTTCCCACATTCTCAGATAAAAGCCGCGACCCGTGTCCACTGGGGCTGGGTGGCTTTGGGCTTCGTTTATGATGTCATGTGGTGTACAGAAAAGTCCCGCTCACAGTGAAATCACTCGACTCGGAAACTACACAGAACAGGGAAAAGTAAGCCGATCTCTGGCAAGCTTGAATGCAAAATGGACACGTGGAGCATTTTGCATCGTGACAGGCAGCTGTCCACTTCCTGGGTGCTGGGGTGGGTTTGATGACGTCGTCACCGTCACCGTCGTGAGCGTTGCTGGCTCCTGGCCTCCTCCTCCGGCACTCTGCTGTTTTAGAAGAAACGAGGGTTTTGATCTACACTGGTTGGGTGTCACTCACTCAGTGCACCTGACCTTTTTGAGGTGTTTACAGATACAAACATCTACATAACTTCAAGCTTTAGGGAGAACAAGGACCGACACAGTGACCATGTGCTGTGCCCCATTTGCTTTGGGCTCGCCCATCTCTCCCATGTGTGGGTGCGCGCTGTGGAAACCCTGTGCATCACGGCCTGGGGCAGCGCCAGCCGGGAGCCCTCAGGCGCCGACATCACTGGGGGCAGAGGAAGCTGTTTGCTCTCTGCAGCTCACCATCGTGTCTGCGAGTCTTGACTTTCGGACTTTAAGAAGTAGGAGATGGGTCCAGCACCTTCTGCACCCTTAAAACAGCGGATTCAGCATCTCTCGGGTCACAGGACAGCGCCTTCATGAAGCTGTCCAAGCACCCACTTCACAGGCCCCTTAATAACCGCGTGATTAACACTTGATTGGAAGAATCTGAAAATCATGCGGAGAATCTGAAAATTGTAGGCGTAGCGCACGAGAGCTGGTCTTGGGAAAGACGGATAGTTACTCAGCGGGCGAACTCAGTGCTTTGGTGGATGGAAGGACAGATTTGGGGAGAGAACGTGAGATTTTGGGGCCGGATGAAAGATGCCAGGCGGCGAGAGAAAAATGAGTGGTGTGGTTGTGCATTGAGGGGGTGGGAGAAGCCGCTGGCTGAGTAGTGCTTGGCTGGGTTCAGGATCTGCTGCCCCCCGTGTGGCACCTAGGCATAGTAAGTACCCCCAAGTATGGTACCTAGGCATAGTAAGTACCCCCAACGATGGCGCCTAGGCATAGTAAACACCCCCAAATATTGTGCCTAGGGTAGTCAATACCCCCAACGGTGGCGCCTAGGTGTAGTCAAGACCCCCAAGTGTGGTGTCTAGGCGTAGTCAATACCCCCAAGTGTGGTGTCTAGGCGTAGTCAATACCCCCATATTGCCGCCTAGGTGTAGTGAATATTTTAAGCTGGAGGAATGCGACAAAACAGAAGAGTCAGGACGTGTCGCTTAAAACTTGCATTGAGGAAAGACACGCGCTTTTCTCATGCATTTCTATTGTTAATCTTTGCGGGTTTAGTGCAGCTGAGGACCAAGTATTCCTCTCTCCTCTGAGGGTCACCGACTGGGTCTGAAGACGAAACTGAAAATCATGCTTAAGTTGTATGTGATACAAGAGTCTTTATAGGGAAATGAAGATCCGAAGGTTAGGCTGAGCCCTTTCATCTGAGGGTTGATGAAGAGGAGGCAGTCATGGAGAAATAGGATAGGTTTGCGTAGTGAGCAGGGGAGACCAGCTGAGGTCTTGACTCGGACATGGGGGTGCTTCCTCCCTAGGTTTGGGGAGGGCGCCTGCCACCTGAGGTTGTTTCAGGGGAGAAACTTGGGGGAGGTCATAGTGGATTCCCAGCTTCTGTTTTCTCACACACCTTCAGCCTCAAATGCTCTCTCTACCAAGGCCCTGCAATTTGGGGTAGTGCATCGTGACCCCACCGTGCTCTCGGCAGGTTTGAAGCGTGAGGTGGCATGTCAGCTGGGCGGCCAGGGCTGCATGGCCTGAGGCAGGCTTGCAGGCTGGGCTCCGGGGCTGAGATCTGAGTCAGGTGCGGGCAGCACGTGTCTGGTGCTGGTGCTGGTGCTGGTGCTGGGAGAGGCTTGCTGGGCGGTGTGAGGGGGGAGCCTCTGATAACGTGGAGGACCTGTGATACGGCCTGGGGTTAGTGGGTGGTCCATCTGTCAGTGCCATGGTACTGTTCGCCTTGTTGGGGAAGATGGGGGAAAAAGATGTACACAGAGAAGCAAAGCCTTGCCTGCCACCCCCCTACCCCCCACCCACACGAGTACGTTCATGAAGGAGCCAGCTGACTTCAGCAGGCAGGTGGCGACGTTCCTCCGTGAGTGAGAGACTTAGGAATACATGCGTGGAGAAGCTTGGCCTGCCAGGTGATGTCTTCATCCTGCTGGGATTTATAAGAGCAGACTTGCTTCTGATAAAGACAGTAGCTTGCCGACTTGGCAGGTGAGTGTTAATGGGACGGATGAGTCATTGAAATGGTGATGGCGAGGGAGGAGGGCTCAGCAGCGAGGCCCTTAAATGGATAGAAGGAACCGCATGGAAAGCAGGTGGAAGGCACAGGGCTGTGGAGCACAGCTGAAGAGCATCCTCCTCGAAAGGGAGATGTGAGCTTGTTGGCCTGGGCCGTGAAGGGTGGGTGCGGACAGAGTGCTCGATTTTAATAATCTGTTGTTTCACAAGCTGCTAAGAGGAATTCCCCAGCAGTCCAGGCTTTATCTTTCTGCACCTACTTCAAAGTAAATGTGAGGGGGTGCACTGGCAAATTTCTAGAATTGTCCTTGGTTACTTAGGACCGTGAGCCAAAGGCCAGGCTAGTAAATTGCACGCAGTAGAATAAAAGGGAAGGGGCTGACCAGTCCACACCTGAACCCAGGGGGTCAGCGTCAGCCATTTGTCCTCGGCCTTTGGGGTGCATCCACCCAGAGGCCGCCTTAGACACGGGACCGTGGGCATCGGCCTTGTGACAAGCCTCTGTTGCTGTGATGCTGCTCTCTTGGATACCACAGTCTGAGAACCACTGTCATCATGAGATGAAGGGTAACCGCATTCTTAAACATCTTCATGTGGGCGGCCTTGCTTCTCGAGCTCTGGTCATTTCGAATCTCGCCTTTGGGTAAGGAACTTGATCAGAAGTGAACTGCAAGCTCCATCCTTTGGGGTAACAAAGTAACAGCCAGAAACAAATCAGTGTCGTGGAGAAAAGTCACACATCTGTGAACAGGCCGGAAACCGGGCTGAGTCTCCTACAAGGAGGGGTCAGCGTGGACTGGCCAGAGATGGTGAGGTCAGCCCTCCGTGAAGAAGATGGGACATGGAGAGGCAGTGGTCAGTGGGGAAGCGGTAGCAGCACCGGCTGGGCGGGGCAGGGATGACAGGCTGGTGTGGGCAGAAGCAGACCCCGCAGAGGGAGATGGCGCAGCACCGCGGGCCGGGGCACACACCTGCCCTGTCACTAGGCAGAAAGCAGAGCACAGGTACAGGAAGTCGACTGACTTTGAAGCAAAAACAGGCACTTGGTATGACTTGAAACGGAGAGTCATCTGCAAGTGGACCGAGTAGTTGTGGCTTCTGTGCCCTCGTTTGGCCACACACACGAGAATCCCAAACCCGTAGGCCTGGCCACTTCCCACGGCCACAGAAATCCAGGGCTCTGATCGCGTTCTGTTTGATGTGAAAGAGCGAGGCACTGCCTCTCACCGGCCCTGTTCTCACGGAGAGGGAGCCCTGTTTCATGGTGTCAAGTCGCAGGTTTTCACGTTGCTTGCTTCTTGAACTTTGCTCGAGATGAAACACTCAGGAGGCCTCACAAGAATGGTCCTTTGTTTATAGAGCATCTCTAGACGTCATCTCAGGTCAAGGGAAACAAAATCATGGAGAAAGTCATCTTTTAAATACCTCACATACCTAGTTCTGCACATCACTGAAGTGCCGAGCCTCATTCCTTTTCATACCCATTGGCCAGCTCAGAATAAGGAGGGGAACGGGTCTGCCAGCTGGGCTCTGGGTGACATGCGCCCTCATTCTTCTTGGGCATTGCTGGCCCTGAGGCTTGGGCAGTTTCTGCATAAGGGTACTGAACTCCAAGGCTGTCATGAAGGCTCAGCAACCCACGAAACCAGGCCCGAGAGTGCTGTGGGACCTGAAGGCATGGTGACACAGGAGTGTCATGGTGACAGTGGTGGACAGGTGTCTCAGGCTGAGGACTCCGGCTTGGTAGATGGTGCCCTAGTCCAGTTCACTGATTCAGTGTTAAGTGAAAGGCAGGTTAGGTCCTGAGTCCTTGCCCTGGTGCATCTGTTCTCATCAAAAGGGAAAAAGGAAAGTCAGTACAAGAGAAGCTTCCTGTGGATGGTCAGTTTCTACGCCTTCCCGGCATCCCCGTTGGCCAACACATCAACCATGTACCTTTGTACCTATTTTGTACAAAATACAGAGAGAAACTAGAACAATGAAAGACAAGGCTAAACCCACGAGAAGCTGAGCTTTGGGAATATATGAAAAAATCTATGCTAAATAGTTTGGTAACAGCTACAAATCTTGAGGATTCTTAAAATGTCCACCCCCCACCCTCCCGGGTTCTTGGGTATCCCAGAGGCTTGGCTGAAAAAAGGCAGGGCTTTTTACGGGTTCCGTGTTGAAACTGTTTGGAGTGTCCAGGCGGCAGGCGAAACTCACCCGTCTCCCTTGCCTCTCCCAGCTGAGTGGTCTGTGGCAGCACGGCCTTAGGATGGGGTGATCAGTGGCAGGTTGCTGCAGAAACCGAGGGGCATCCTGTCCCTTAAGAACAGTGTGTGCCCCATGGCCACTGCGTCACTAGCCTGGGACTGCCCACAGTAACTGTTCTTTGCAGAAGACACCCGGAAACCTTGGCACTCTCAAGTATTAGAAATCTGGTTCTAATAATTTCCATTTTGTTGATTATAATAAACAAGTGGATGTTTCTCTGGTTGGATTACCTAACTGGAGTGCAGGTTTTGAAGTCCAACCAGCTTTATTCTGACATGGAGAGAACTTGAAATTTTCCTTTTCATCACTTAGTTGAGTGGGATATGAAATTGGCTTGTTAAAGTACTCACTTCCGCTTATTTTAAGACCTCACTTTTTGCAGGATTACATTTTGTTTTAGCTTCTATAGCATAATAATAACTTCGATTAACTTTGTATGAAGTCACACAGCTCGTTCCTCTTTTCACTTTGGTTTCCTAACTCCTCATCTCTTTTCCCCCAAATCCCTATAAAAACAAACAAAAAACTCTACCTACAACCCTTCTGTGAAAAAGCAAGTCACTGATCTCAAATTCTTAACTTGAGTATCCAGTTTGCACACATTTTGGCTTGTCTTGAAGTTTGTATTTCACCTGTCTCAGAAGCAGACAGACTCAGCTTTCATTCGTTCTTAGAATAATACTTGCTGTCATGGATTAAGCATTTGGCAGCTATTTCTTTTCCTGTATACACATACCAGAAGTTGGGAGTGAGGGGAAATTAAAACACATTCTTTTTGTATTAAAAAAAAAAAAAACTCCAAAAGCTGATGTTTAATGCTCTTGGTTACAAATGTGCCAAAAAATAGTCCCATTTTATTTATTTGCTGCAACTCTGTATAGCTGTCTGATTTCCACCCCAAATACATCAATATCCCTTTTTTTGTCAGGACACATTTTACCTGTGTGTATGTATAATACGTGTGGCATTTCTCTTTTGTTTGAGGCTGTTGGAGTATACTTACCCATAATCCCACATTCAAGAGAAAAAACTACACTCAATCTTATTAATCTTTTCATTGTCAGTGTTAAGTTGTCCTTTTTTAGAACATAGAACGTTTTCAGAACAGTCTACTGAGTGAAATAAAGCTGTACTTACATCTGAGATGTCTCTATTTCATATGAAATAATTTTGGTAGTAAACACCAATTTTTGACTGTGTATAGCTCTGTTTTTATGGAGCATATATTTTTCCCCCAATTTGTAGAGCAGTTCAACTCTACAATCAAGTAAAATCTTGAGCAAACAGAGACAGTGAAATGGAGTAAATTCTTAGCTTAATGTAAATTTTATTTTCTCCACTTCTCAATTAAGACATGGAGATGTATAGCCAAATCTCAGTGTTCCCTGGGTCTTACTGTTTTCCTCCTAAAATGTCAACCAAGTTTGTGATGTTCCCTTCTTAAAATATTTTCATGTTTACCAAATTTTCTTGGATCTAGTTCTTTTGGAAAAATCTGTGGACAAGTGCTTTTCTTTTTGACTAAAGCAGCTAGCCAACAGAATTATTAATTGTGGGTGTTGTGTCCTTTGCATAAGTCAATTTCTCATGTATGCCCTATAAAGTGACGGCGACAGTTCTTCCTACTTGAAAGAAAGTCTTATGTGCTTATAACTTCCCCCTGCGCTTGGAATATTTGAGTCATGCCAAGGATTAATTTTGGTTTGAAATAGACAGAAAACGATTGAGCTGAAAATATAGAAGTGTATTCAGCTGCGAATGAAACTACCCAACATTAGAAGGAACACTTCTAAAATAAGGGAAGGATTAAAACTGGCAGCAGGCGAACTGGAAGGTGGGCAGCTGGTGACAGGAGCTGTTACTAGCACTGGCAAGAAAGGGAGCAGCCCCGGCCCACGAAGGACGCGAGGCCGGTCTCCAACAATTCGCTGGTGTAACAGACACAACTAGTCTTTTCTCCAGTATCAGGCGGGTAACATTCTTGTTCCAGTGACTTTTCGACCCTCACATCATCTTTCCATTTGAATTTTCTTGTGCGCGACATCCAGCAGAGCATAAGTAGTGTGTACTTAACCCCTGCTGCTTAGCTTCTGACTTACCCACGAAGTTGCATCCTAGCAGTGGCCCTCTGATCTTGGTGGTCTTGGACACGAGGACAGTGGGCCTCCTGTGGACCCATCGGGTCTCCTCGGCCTCAAGCTTTGGGTCGGAGAGGTGGTCGAGGCCGTTTGACCAAGGTGGCTTCGCATGTTTCTGTCTTTGGCTTCAAACTGAGGAGACCTTTTCGCAAGCAGTGGGGCCCTGAGTGTGTGTGAGTGTGTTTGGAAAAGGGGACTTGGAGTATCTACGTGAGGCATCTGTTGTGAAGTCACAGCATGGTCTAATTACTTTTGTTGAGACTGGCAGTGAAGACGCTGGCGAGGTGGAGGGTGGAGGCTGGTGGCGGGCAGCTGGTGGGCAGGGGTTTGGTGGGGAGGACGCTGCGGGACTACTTGTGATCATTCAGACATGTTTATAAATGGCAGTTTTGCATCTCACGAAGCTAAGCACTAGCAAAAGGACATCTGAGTTGCTTACCAAGAGCACCTCCCTGCACCTTCTCATTTGCTGTTATCTTTCTGCACTCTAACAACGCAGGTCCATGGGATTGTTCGGCGATCCAGTTCGTTCAACACAGGCCGGATTGAACATCTGTATAAGAACCCTCAGGCGCACATCGAAGGAAGTAAGTAATTTGCTTCTTCTAAAGTCTCTTTCTTTAACTTCCTGTATTTGATAAGGTGCTTGCAGATGCCATTTTTCGCAAAGCATATCAGGTCACAATTATTTACCCACCAATTACCTGCAATGAATCCTCTCAGAAAGCCCTGGGCTTGCCTCCCTTGGCAGTATCTTCATGTTGTTGTTTCAGGGAGCTGGTGATGCTCCTGAAGTGGAGGGAAGTGTAGGAAGTGGGGGGCCCTTTGCTCACCCTCTGCAGGTGTCCCTCTCCCCTCCAGCTTCACAGATTCCCGTCGTGTCCATGTTGGGTCTAACTTAATCAGTGTAGTAAGCTCCGGCCTGCCAATTATTTTTTTTTTTAAGATTTATTTATTTATTTATACATATAGAACTGGGATATAGGTCAGAGGCGTGGGGCCAATGAGAGGACTCACCCGACAACGTGGGGAGCAGAACAGCCAGATGGATTGAAATACACTGCTGAGGGGAGCAGTGGGCGGGTCAGGAGAGTTCTGCCCCGCCATGTGGGTCACTTCCCTGGCTGGGATTGAACTCGTGCTTCAGTGACTGCAATAGCTTCACAGTGCTGTGCTTTGACTTGATTTAAAGATAATTTTTAAAGATAACTTGAAGAAAGGACGCAGAAAGTCGGCAGTCAAAACTCAACTTTGCTTTAAAGCTCATCGTCAATATCTGCTGTGGTTTGTTATGTTTATTGATCAGAGGACTGGCCTGGTGCTGTGTGGTTTCCACAGCACAGACTCGGTGGGTTCTCACTCAGGCTCATGGTTGTTGCTGGGAGGGACAGCAAGGCCATCTCACAGATGGTGAAATAGAGACAGGTAAGGGTGTGTCTGTGTTGAGACCACACTCCATAAAAGCAGGAGCTGGGACTCGGACTCGGGTTCAAGTCCCCAGGTTCAGCCTGCTGCACTATCGGGGTCATTCAGTCAGCTTCTCCGCTGTGAGTGAGTTCAAATTCACCACACCTAATCATCCCCATAAGGCCTTTCTGCCTTATTATCTTGGCGACTCGATGCATCCTCCTTGAAAATCAGTCCTTTTTTTTTTTTTTTTGCCAAGGACAGGAAGATACGGACATTGGATCTGTCAAAATCTCTGTGCTCACGAGGGCAGTGTTCAGGACCTGCTGTGAGCTCGGCCCTGAAGGCCGTGTCCTGGCAGGCACGTCGCTACGTCAGGCGCTTCGTAGCCACTGAACGGCTGGTGTTGATGAAGAGCTTGAAACTGCTAGACGAGAGTGGCTGAGCCCAGCTGCTCCCCGCTGCCAGTGCGAGAGATTTCTTTAGTGAAGACTCACACTATGGCGGGAGTCCCTTTGACTCGCAGGCTGATGTGGTGCATCTCGCGCCCCTGGAAGCCGTCGGCCCATGACTGTATCACATCTGCCCAATGAAGATTTTTACAAAAATCACAGCCTTGTTGCAAACCCTTTCCATGGGCCACACATCAGGCTCACATTTCAGGCTCTTGAGAAGGGACATGCGCTCCGCTTTTGCCCACGGTCTGGTTTTCAGAGTTTCCAGCTCCCTCCCCACTCTCTTGCCTGGGTCTGAGGGCTTTTCTCTGCCTCCACAGACATGAAGTTGCACTACGGTGACCTCACAGACAGCACCTGCCTCGTGAAGATCATCAACGAGGTCAGGCCCACGGAGATCTACAACCTCGGGGCCCAGAGCCACGTCAAAGTAAGCTGCTGCAGCAAGCCCATGCCCGCCGTGGCTGGCTCTGTGTTGCGCTTTCGTGGTTTGTGTCATGCTTCCGTGGCCCATGTCACACATTCGTGGCTTGTGTCTTCCTGATTATTCAGCTGCTGGCCCTAGTTTTCCCCTTCGGTCGTTGAGATTAGTTTGAACATGAGCGAATCCCTATAGCAATTGTTTTTTAATTGATCTTTTTAAAAAAAGATTTATTTATTTGTGCTTATAGAACTGGGGTACAGGCCAGAGGTGTGGTGGGTGAGAGGATTCACCAGAGAGTGGGGAGCAGAACAGGCAGATGGACTGAAATACACTGCTGAGGGGAGCAGTGGGCAGGTCGGGAGAGGTCTGCAGCGCCCTGTGGGTCAGCTCCCTGATGGGGGATCAAACTTGTGCTGCAGTGTTTTCAGAGAGCTTCTAATGCGGTGCTTTAACCCATTGCTCCACCAGGGAGAGCCTTAATCGACATTTTAAAAGTAATTTAAAAAAAGATTTATTTGCTTATGCATATAAGAACTCAGGTACAGGCCTACCGGAATTCTGAGGTATGGGATTCACCAGAGATAGAATGGGGTACAAAACAGGCAGACCTGCTGAGGGGAGCAGCGGGCTGGTCAGGAGAGGTCGGCCGCGCCATGTGGGTCAGCTCCCTGGCCGGGAATGGAACTTGTGTTGCAGCGGCTGTGGACGGCTTCATAGTGCAGGGTTGTAACCTCTTGAGCCACCGGGGAGGCCCTAATTGACGTGTTTGAGAAGCATATTCTCTGCTGCTGAACAATGTCATCTCTCAATGCAGACATTGGAACGGCAGGACTCATCAGTCGTGGGCCCATCGTAGTCCCCACGCCAGGCAGCGCCTTTCAGTCACGTCGTGGAAAATGTTAAAATGTTGGAAAACGAATAAAAAAGTAAATGAATTTCAGAAAAGGAAACTTGATGAAACATCTATTTTAATATCAATATTGGTAGTGGTTGTGTTCAGCAAATAATATCTTTGAGTTCCAATGATAAGTCAAAATTAACTGAATTAATTTTTATTGCTAAAAATGATCGAGAAAAAAACCTATTCTCCACGGTGTGATAGAGCTTACGTTGATTTCATCCCCTCTACTCAAATTCTCTGAAAGTCTTTCTACCTCCCTGAAATGTTCTTTCTGGAAGAAAATCACAGTGGTCCTAAGAGCTCGCCCCTAGTTTCTGGCAGTCTCACGAACTCAGCTTCTTGTTGATTTGTCCTAGTACTCATTTGAAAGATGAAATCTGAAGCCAGGCTTATAGCTATTGTGTTTAGATATTTCTTCAACCGGAATAATGAGTAGAGACTAGAAATAAAATCACTGAGTTAAAGTAGCCTATATATATATATATATATATATATATATATTGCAGATCTATTGGCATCTCTTACTGTTTAATGAATGGATTCAGCAGTTTTATTGCAGAAAGTATTGAAGGTGATTTGCTGTTTCTTCTTATGCCCAAGTTACGTAGAACAGCAATTATGTGCCTGTTTCATACACCCTACTAGTTTAAGGAAGAAGTTATAGACTAGCTCAAACGAAACTAGGTCTAGACAGATGTGAGAACATGATGTAAGATGCAGCTATCCTGGAGTGGCCAGCAAGCTTAAAAACTGAGTTGACTCGGGCCCTCCCTGGAGGCGCAGCGGGTTAAAGCGCTGCACAAAGAAGCTTAAGCCACTTCCACATGAGTTCGATCCCCGCCTGCCCCGGAGGTGACCCCATGGTGTGGCAGACCCCTCCTGACCCGCCCGCTGCTCCTCTCAGCAGTGGACTTCGTCGATCTGCCTGTTCTGCTCCCCGCTCTGTCTCTGGGGAATCCTCTCACCCTCCGCATCTCCATCTCTGGCCTGTACCCCAGTTCTGTACGAATAAATAAATAAATCTTTAAAACAACAACAACAACAACAACAACAACAAAAACACACCGAGTTGACTCTCCAGTACAGCTTTCTTCAAAGCTTTGTTAAGGAATGTTAACAGTGAATACATTATGTATCATGGAAGAAAGATAATTCTTATCTGTCTGTATTGTTGAGGCAAATTTTTTCCCCCTATAATCTCTGGTGATTTTCTCTTCCATATTTAAACTTAAGCCTTAGGGTGTGAAAGGTCCTTGGGTTAGCACTGTTTTGTTTTTTGTCTTTGAAAGAGAAAACAACTTTGAACCTGTCTTTATTTTCTTATCTTTTTCCCTACCACCTCCCTGTTCCCCTGTCCCTTTCCCTTCCTCTTAGTATCTTTAGAAAGCTCAGATGCTTATTGTCCTGCTTTTTTATTTTTTTTATTTTTACAACCTTTTGTACATTTCTTTTTTTCCATCTCAATTGTTATC